TATATCAAGAATAAGTTGTCAATTTGGTTGCAGAAGATTGGTCGAGAATAAAGTTGAGTACATTGCTGTTGATTCCCATTGAGTTTGTTTACATATTCCTCAACATTAAAGATTCCAAAGGAACACAATAGAAGCTTGATGTTACATGACGGGAGGAAAAAAAAAACGGTGGGGTGTGTAATATGAGACAACAACAGAATCATACAACCAGCTTAACACTCTCTTACCATCAAATCCTATCAACACAATTACATATAATAAATAAATAAATAAATAAGTTAAAAATCACAATCTGTTAACATACCAAAACAGTATGCACAACATATTCATTTGAACGTGTAATTAATATTTGCCATCGGACTTGGTTACTCTCCATTCAAAAACCTGGGCTTGAGCCCCTTCAACACCATCAAATGAACACATAACTAAAACAAATACACACACATTACATAAGCATATACTCACATAAATAATATACAGATATACGTAATTTATCATTTTCCTGAGTATCATAACCAATTAACAGAAACATTTTAAATTCTGCCACACTCTACATAAACATATATATGAATTCAACAGACAGATACAATCATATACAGTAATTTTTCCAAGAAATACTCAAAATGTGACATTTTTAAAATGCAGCAACATAAAAACATATTTCACAGACAAATACACATGAATAAGCATACAATTAGAAGCATATAATTTCTTTAATTGCATCAAAAGACAGGCCCAAATTTAAATGCACATAGATATTAATAAAAATTCAATTATAAACTGATAACATCAAATTAAAATAAATAAAAATAAAAAAGACAAATTTGTGGGCACCTTTGGATTTGATTTTTCCAAGATTGAGCTAAAGCTTGGGCCTTTTCAACATAATCAATGGAGGGAAGTTGTGGGGACAGGAGATCAAGCTTGAACTGGAGTGATTGGAGCATATTCAAACCATCCTGAGCCAACCCATTTAATCTTGGCAACGAATCTTTATTTTCCTCTTCCTCAATTTCAATTCCTTCTGTAATTCTTGTTTTTTTCCCATATTCTTGGATGGAATCAATGTATTTGAGGGTTTGGCTGGACGTTTCTTGGAAATCTTTCTTGACTTTCTCCACTTCTTCTACTACTTGATCCATGTCTCTGCCTATTTGGGGACAAGGGCAGATCCAGGAATTTAGGACACAGGTGCTAAATTTAGGAAATTCTATATAATAAATTAATAGAACACAGAAATCGAACAGTAGTAGTAGGGGTATGATTACTAGAAATATTTTCAACTGCTGCTTACAAATTTCTTTGTCCGCAGGTAAAGCAAAGTTGCTAGTTGCTACTGTAAACAAATGAAGTTGAGAAGAACAATATCACAGCTTCTGAAACAATAGCAAATCTATGAAAACATCAAAGGGTGTAAAATCAAAGCAAAGATTTACCGTATTGAAGCTATGAAGACGAGAAGTGGAGGTTCCAGCCACTGCAATATGCAGAAGAATGAATTATTTAGTCAAATGGAAAATAAAACACATTACTTCTAAAGCAACATATTTTGGAATTTGACCGTTCTAACATTAAGAATAAGGAGTTTAAAAGATAACAAATGAGATGGCATTAATCTTCATTGATACGACTGCACAGAATGGTACAGCTGACTCGGCTACAAATGAGACAGAAAGTTACAATCTGCAGCATCAAACTGCACAAAATACAAAGTGCAAACATAACATAATTGGGTGTTAAATGCCAAGATATGTAATAAACTGTTTTCCATTTGTCACTTCCAGTCATTATAGTGATAGATGTGAGGTGGGAAGAAATATGATATGCCCTGGCCCTCCACCCACCGGGCATGGCAATTGCTCCACTCACTCACTCAATCATCAACATTTTCAATATACCACAATAAATAATAGAATAATTCCTATCCAACATTTAATTGCCCTTCATTTCACCACGACATTGACCAAACATTTTCACAAAAACCCAGAGTACAGATAGAAATACATACATACATAAGAGTACTGTATAATCAAAATATGGGAATCAACAAGTTCATGGCAGCAGCTTTATATTTTCTTTTATTTTCATACTATAATATAAATAAATAACAGCATGGCCAAAAGGGGGTGGTGGACACTGGACACTAACACCAAAAATCAAACATCCTACACCCCAAAATTCCTAAACTCAAATCAGCCAAAATATTGCCTCGAACAGTAGTGAACAACTAGAAATGCTAACTTACTGTGCACAACATTACCCAAAAATTTGAACACAACGCCCACTATTCTTCTAAAGATTACACCATTGATCCATTACAACAAACACAATACTACATAGTCTAGTTTAGGAATGTTGTTTGTCATGTTTTCACGAAAGAATGGCCGCCTTGCATCAAATGATTTGAATAAATACGTTGAAAAAATTGGTCAAAGAAAATAACTCTTTCACTGGAGCTTTTTGTGGTACTTGATCTGGTTTTCCAAATCCAATCAGAATAGGAAGGAAAATGGAGTACAAATCCAGTAAATTATTTTCAAAATATGAGAAAGTAAAGAAATTACCTAGAAATGAGCAAGAACTAGGGGTGTCTTCCAGATCGGTGGCCACCAATTTCGCCGGAGAGAAGAGATTGCAGGAGGCAAGGGAGGCTAGGTTTTGAAGTTGAGAGAGAGGAGTTCATGGTCGATTATTTGCCATGAAATCTGTCTTGCAAGATTAAAAGTTTATGGCCAATCACTACAAATAATAAATTTAGCCCTTTGAATATAAAACAAACATATATCCATTAAAAGAGAATGGCTTCTACACCTTAGGAACTTTCCACAGTTAGACCATTGGAAAACTAGGAAGCACAGAAAGTATGCCTTCTAAATTTCAAACTTGAATGGGAACATCCAAAAATCTAAGCTATTATCAGTTCAATTTGATTTCAATCACATGATATTCTTACCGTAAAATGCAGCCTAAAGTTGCAAATACACGGTTAATATATAAACCTTAATTCACAATCACTAATTTTATCCAACCAAACCCATACGTCAAGATACTAAAAATGCTAATGCTGCACTAGTGTAGTCTAAAATTTCTTTGATTGAAACGCATATCCGCTCTCTGTAAATATTTTTTTATTGAAACCGCAGTTGCTAACCAGAATTCACACAGGTAAGAGTGTTGAAAGAATGACTATCGTGACTGGCAAAGTTTTGGAATTATAAACGTTCTTTGAAGGAAGTAGAGAGCTACAACAGCATGCTAAAGAGGCCAAATGAAGTAAAATGTCACATATCAGGTAACATCCCAGGCTAAGCAGACTCTCAGCATTCTCTGACTCAGCTCAGCAGTAAGATGGACCTGCTCAAGATCCAACCTTAATACCAAGTTCAACACATGCAAAACAGTTGAGAACCCCTAAGTCAAGCATAAACAGAGAGTTCAATCTCTGCACGGCTTAAAGAAAAGCTTCACATTTCCTATTAAGAATTTCTTCTCAATAATTCTAAAATTCTCAGAATAAAAAGGAAAATCCTTATCTGGTATCTGGTATAAAGTTCTGGTTCTCCATAAATTCTCACTTCTGAAAACAGTATTCCTCACTTTAAAATATATTTGTGGATATATCTTATTCCAAATTAATCACGCACCTCAAATCCAGATTTCTTCGGACAAGATGTAAAGAGTATAAACACAAACCATAAACCCCACTGACCCAAAGATTCAAATAATGGAAATATATAACTAGCATTGCAATCCTGGAAATTATATTAATATGTAATGCGGATCCCAAAAAAATCAAGGTAAGAAAAAGAAAAATTTAATCTAAGATTAGAAAACACAATGACTATTGCACTATTTAATCCAAGATTAGAAAACACGAAAAATGGTGAACATTGAAAAACATTTTGGCACATAATTCACAAAAAAAATGATGGCAACAGGAGAAGGAAACCATTACATATCAAAACCCAGAAACAAGTAAAATAGAGAAATCGGGAAATACCAAGATTATTAATTGATTGGCAAAGAATCTCAAAAACCCAGAAACCAAATCTATAGATATTCAGATCGTTGCAGTGAAAAGCAGAGGCGCCGAATGGAAATAAAGAATTGTTGAAATGTCACACGCTATCAATAATAGAACAATACATATTTGACAAAGCTTTCAATTTGCTTATAAGAATTTCTTTTGAATCTTAATTTATTTACCTTCATAAATTTCGAAGTGGTGTTGCTTCAATAAAGAGTAGAGTTTCTCTCTCAAAAGCTTAAAAGCTTATGAATAGGAGAAACGCAGGAAATGAAAGCGGATTGTATGGAACTTGAAACAATTGATACTTGAATCACTCAGCAGGGGTGGGCAAAACCCAAACCACCCCGATCAAACCGCCCAACCCAACCCAACCCAACCCGAGGGGGTTGGGTCGGTTTTTTGCATTTTTTGAATGGGTTTCGGGTTTCGGATTGGGTAGTTGAGTCGGGTTGGGTCGGGTTGCGGGTTAACACCCTAAACCCGATATAAACCAACCCGACCCAACCCGAGTACATTTAAAAAAAAAAAAAGGAAGGAAGGAAAACGACGTTAGAAAAACAAAACCCTAAACTTGGATTCAGTCATTTCATTTCCCCTCATTTCCTTTCTTCGTCGACTTCTTTCTTCCCCTCTCTTCCCGGTGGGTAGACGATGGCGAGTGATTGGGCATTTGGGTGGTTGCGATAGGCGACGGTGAATAGTGGGTTTGATCTGCAGGGTTCATTTCAAAAGGGTTCTGCCTGTTGCGTTCTGGCCAGTAGGCTCTGTACGTGTTCATACACAGCGTCCTCCCTAGCTGGGTCAGTTTCAGGTGGATTTGTGGTCACACGCAGGTTACTTGCTATTTCAAGATTTTATTTTCAGCTAGGTATCTTGGTGTTGGGACGGAATTTCTGCAGAGTTGGGTTTTCTTTTCCAGCTCAGGTTTTGCCTTAAGTTCTTGGTCAGATTTACACAGGTTTACCGGTAGTTCTCATTATTGGAATTTGGGATTCCTCGCATTCCTCACTTGTTCTTCTTGGCTTTTGGCTGTATTTTTAGGAAGGGTATTTCTGGAGTTCGATTTTAATTTCTTGAAACCTGCTTCATCTTCCTCGACTGGATACTTTCACCTTCAAAGTTTGAAGGTGTAAGTATTTTGTATGTATTGGTGGCAATACATTGCAAGATTAATTCTCTATTTTGAATTGTTTTTGCTTAGTGGGGGCACATGAATTCTGCATTTTCAAAGGGAATGGTCAATTCAGCAAATTCAAAGGCAGTTCTTGTTCTGGTTCTGCTAAAAAAAAAAAAATCAGATCACAAAAATGGATTCAAGGAAAACGCAGAAAAGGATTGTGCTGAGATTTTTGGTGCAGAAAAGACACAGGTCCAAATCCTTTACACAACAGATAAGTAGCAAATGTGTTGAAAAGAATTCCTTGTTTATATAAAGTATAGAATATGTGAGTTGGTTGTTTAAATTAGTAAGCAGATTAATTGTTTAGAGGAGAGAATTATTTAAAGACATATAATGAATGAATCTTGTCATGTTTGTTTATCATGATTTGCAGGGGCAGATCACTCTTTAGAACCAGTGCTGCCACAGGACCTCCTGGAACCAGTGTTGCGTGTGCTAAGACGGACACAGCCACAGGTGCAATATTAATACTTTCTTCTATTGCATAAATATATCTATTTGGTTTTTTTGTAATGTTTGAGGAATATATTGGTAGATATGGATGAATGTAAACTAGTTAATAGAAATGTCGACACAAACCGACCAACCCAACCCAAC